AAAATCATATGGTTTGAAGAACACGTGAACACACTTTTAATTGCAACTTTGCGCTATGTGGGATGACAGCTGTAACTCCCACGGCTTTCTTAGTCACTCTGGCTTTATGCTGTAGTGAAAAAAGTATCGTAGAGTGCATGTTAAATATCATCTTTCTAGTTTTGTGTTCTGTGAGCATGGAGTGCATCATGATACTGCATCGCTGTGTGGATTGCATTGTTCTGCATTCGCTGTAGCATTCATTTGCGTTGCACTGCGTCATCTGCTAGAGTGAACATGAATACGATATTTACGAAATCGCCTTATGTCTCACAAGTATCAATTGGAGCTAAAAAAAAAAAAAATACGTGCCAAAATCTTAAACTAAAGGCCGCGTATCCTGAACCTTCCCTGAAGATTGTTTGTTAAGAAAGAATGATTTCGCTCGAGGGACACTTAGCGTTGCTTTGCGGAAGACGACGTAAGTGTTCGTGACTTGCATTCCGACGCCGAAGAGGAAGGGCTTGGGAAATCGCTCGTAGCAGGCTTGGTTGAGTCGGCAAGTTCTGTGAATGAATGCCATTTCCTGCCTATGAAGGCGCTCGTAGGCAGTGTCATTAATTCATAAGGCATGTAATTAGAATGCTTATGGTGTGATGTATCGCGTTGCATCGTAATTGTCAATCAGATATTTCAACTTGAAGTAATTCATCAGAAAATGACAAGGGGATGTTTTGTAATCCCAGCTTCTGCTCCGCGGCCGATTAATCAGCTGATTCTGTCATACCACTTCGAAAAGGATGTCAAAAGCACATTCAACATTCTTTCGCCTGTTTTATTATTATTTTTTTTTTTATTTTTATTATTTTATTTTTTAGAAGATTCGATATGAAGGGTCAGGATTTTCAAGAGCAATTTCTTATTTCATTTCCAAATATAGACATCGTCATGCACCCTCACAGCATCAGTCGTGAGCCATTTCATCAATATCATTCATTTAAAAAATAAGCATTATTCTGTTGAACATTATCTGCATTGTGAAGCAACAGTCACCCAATGTATATTTCTTTCATACATTTATTCTATGTATACAAAATAAATGTATTTAATACATTTATTTCATATGAAATATATTTTCGTCATACAACATACTACATTTTGCCTTTATATCAGATATATTTCTTTTATACATGTTTTATATTCCTTTCACACATCATTTATTTCCTTCATATAAAATATATTTCCTTCATATAAAATATATTTCCTTCATATAAAATATATTTCCTTCATATAAAATATATTTCCTTTATATAGAATATATTTCCTTCGTATAAAATACATTTCCTTCATATAAAATATATTCTCTTCAAACAGCTTTTCCTTCATATAAAATACGCCAAATCGTCTTAACGATTGAACCACAGACCGATACAACGAAAAAAGAAAGAAAGAAGAAGAAAGAAAAAAAAAGAAAAGAAAGAAAAGAAAATGAAAGGAAAAGAAAAGAAAATGAAAGAAAAAGAAAAAAGAAAAAATGAAAGAAAAAAATTAAAGTAAAGAAAAAAAAGAAAAAGAAGAAAAAAAGAAAAGAAAAGAAAGAAAAAGAAAAAAGGAAAAAAAAGAAAAAAAAAGAAAATGAAAGAAAAAGAAAAAGGAAAGAAAAAAAGAAAAAGGAAAGAAAAAAAAAGAAAAAAGCCAAAACAAAACAAAAAACAAAGAAAGAAAGAAAGAAAGAAAAAAACAAAAAACAAACTAACACCCAACCCCGAAGCAGGACAACCTCCCCCCCCCCCCCCGCCTCGTCACATGGGAACTTCTCCCCCCGATTCCCCGAAGAAACTTAACTCCCCGATAATAGCTTCTTCGACAAGCAATAAATGGCTTAATAAACACACAATCAGAACAAATATCAAAACTAATGGATCTACGGGAAGGTGACCTCTTGGCGAGGGCGCTCGGCGGGTCCTGAGCGAGGGCACGTGAACCGAGGGAAAAGGTCACGAGGGGAAAGGGGCTGAGGGGAGAACGAAGGGGAAAGGGGGAAAGGGGCTGAGGGGAAGGGGCTGAGGGTCACGAGGGAAAGGACGAGGGAAAAGGTCACGAGGGGAAAAGGGGAGAGGTCACGAGGGGAAAAGGTCTGAGGGGAGAAGTCACGAGGGGAAAGGTCTGAGGGGAGAGGTCACGAGGGGAAAAGGAGGGGAGAGGTCACGAGGAGAAAAGTCTGAGGGGAGAGGTCACGAGGGGAGGGGAGAGGTCCACGAGGGGAAAAGTCTGAGGGGAGAGGTCACGAGGGAAAAGTCTGAGGGAAAGGGAGGGGAAAAGTTCTGAGGGGAGAGGTCACAAGGGGAAAAGGGGCTGAGGGGAGAGGTCACGAGGGGAAAGGGGCTGAGGGAAAAGGGGGCTGAGGGGATAGGGCCCAAGGGGAGAGGTCACGAGGGGAAAGGTCACGAGGGGAAAAGGTCTGAGGGGAAAGGGCCTGAGGGGAGAGGTCACGAGGGGAAAGGGACTGAGGAGAAAGGTC